TACAAAAGCAAGTGGCAATAAACAACCAAACTTTTTGCAAAATGACAAAATCATAAACATAAATACCGAATGACAAAAATGTCATGTATGGATGCTGCTACGGTTTTACAGATGTACGCATGTCTCCACAAAATGTACTAAATTGTAGTACAAGTTACTTTTTTTAGGAAATTACAAAGGAAAAACTGTCTTTTTTTAGTAGGATGTAGTTCTTAGTTCTTGGATCCCTTATAAAATAAAAACAAGAAATTACAATGCAAATGAAGTTAGTATGAAATGAAGTGAACACCAGTGTACCTTTATTAAAAAAATATACTAAATTTAGTACATTTCTTTTAAAACGAGAATATTGACTTCAAATGTTTAGAAAAGAAACTTGAGTGATCCTTGGCTAGGGGTTTTCCTTGTCTTACACATTAGCTCCGACCGTATGTCGGATAACTATGAAGACATACGTTCAGTGTTTCTTCGAAGTGCCTTGCTTAAGTTAGAAAGAGAGCGTATAAAAGGGAATTGATTTTAGGTTAATCATAGTTTTGTGACGTGCACGCAAAGATCCATTGATCCAACTGTAAGTGGCGCCCTCTACTAGTAGGAGTCATATTGACACCAAAATCAAATTTCCCATGTCAAAAAACTCCCAGACACGAATTTTCATCCAAATATTGACGTTACTTTACAAATTATTTGGAAAAAATTGTAATAAAATTGAAACTGCTATACCCTGTATCACAGAAACTAAGCATTTCAGGACATACATTTATACGAACTTTTTTACTTATTTTTATCTGCAGAATATGCTACCGAAGTTTTGGGAATACAGTTCGGACCACTCTGTATATAGTTAAAATCTACACTGCTCTGAATATCAAGTTATCAAGTTTATAATTATTACTTATAAAGTGTGCTTTATTTTATTACGTAAAACGGCAAATTAAAATCCCATCCATCTAGATGAAAAACACAATTGAAGAAAAACTACGCGTAGTTAATCAGGTAAATTACATATTAATTAACTACTTCCGAATGTTCCGATGTTCTTGTTGTTTCAGGTTTTAATATTTTTTTTAATTTCTTTGATGAATCATATCTGATTCAATTAAAACCAAAAAAGGCTAAATTTTAAAACACGAAAATATGTACATTTTTGTTTGTTTTGTTTTATTTTGCTTTCCTTTCGAGCAGTCTCTCGCATTAATTTGTCGGGCAAATATTTATTTTATCCGTTGGTTAACTTTAAATTTTTAAATAAAGACCAAAACAGGCACAAAGTAAACTTCCCACATCCCCTTCTGCTGTAAAATCGTTCGAAAATTTCTACTACTAAAACTACTTCCGAAACTCCGATAACATGGTATTAATATTTCATGAAAAACTTTGTTGTGCTCCAAGATAGGGTGATTATTTCATAATAAGTTGGATGCATTATTAAAATGCATAAGTTGGGTTATCCAAAATATCAGCGAAAGATAGAGAAAACAAATTAATGGTTCTTGACATGGACAATAATAATATGCTTTTTACAATGACATTATAGTTATTAATGATACAAGTTCGATACGAACATCATAATGAAACGCGTGTAACGTTAAGCCACAAGGCGTTAGCCTAGTGGCTTAGTTACACAAGTTCGATCCGGGGGGGGATCCAAAGAGATTTAATGTAATTTAAAATATCAGAGATATCCTCATAAAAATTGAAATTCAAAATTATCAGGTGCCCATATTAGTCGACACCGTGGTAATCGTGCTTGTTGATTGTTTCCATTTTGACTTTGACAACTCAATTATTGATGTTCAATTTTGTGTTAACCGTTCAGTTTTCACAAAAAGCAAAAAATAATATTAATATGGGTGATGCTGATTCTGAAAGTGTCCCTTCGGATATTGAAGACATTGCGCAAAACGTTGTCGATTGCCTATATACTTCCCGAAAAATCAAGACAAACTTACGAGCAACCCTATGTAAAATTTGAAGATTGGTGTAAAGGGAAAGGAATCAAGAATAGTAGTAACGAAAAGGTTCTCCTGGCATATTTTGAACATCTTTCAAAACATAGGAAGGCTTCATCACTTTGGGTATATTATTCCATGCTACGTTCAGTTATATCAGTGAAGAAAAATACAGATATTAGTAAGTACGTCCATTTAAATGCATTTCTAAAAAGAAAATCGGAAGGATTTCAGTCAAAAAAAATCGAGAATTTTAAGAAAAGAAAACATAACTCGTTTTTTTGTTGGTAGCCGATGATAAAACTTATTTCCTGACAAAAGTTTCATTAATAGTGGGACTTGCGGGGGCCTGCCGGCGTATCGAGTTGACAAATCTGCAGCTGCAAAATGTTAAAGATGAAGGACAATGCATTCATGTCATTATTCCATTTACGAAAACAAAGATATTACGAGATTTTTTTTATAACGAAAGGGAATGTTGAAGGAATAAATATGGTGGAAATGGTTCGAAGATATATAGCTATGCGGCCAAGCAACACAGAGCATACTTGATTTTTTGTGATGGGGTACAGAAATGGAAAATGTATTAAGCAACCCGTTGGCATTAATACTTTAGGGAAAATGCCGTATAAAATAGCATTGTTCCTAAGTCTTCCAAATCCACAACAAGACACTGGACATTGTTTCCGTAGATAGTCTGCGTCGTTGCTTGCAGATTCAGGAGTAGATTTATTAACTGTTAAAAGACATGGTGGTTGGCGCTCTAACACAGTGGCAGAGAGCTATATAGAAAATTCCAAAGAGCACTAGTGCTATTATGAAAGCCATAATGACATCCAAATGACAATGTTAAATGTGTCATAATGACATTGTCGTAAATCATAAACACTATTTTATAGGTAAACACTATTTTATAGGTCTGTTGACTAGGATCAAAAGCAAAGGCACGATTTTAATATAAAAAATACGAAAAAATGTTAGTGTTGTCTTCCAAAGCGAATATTTCCAAAAGAAATACAGCTACTGAGATGCATCAAAAAACAAGCTATCGTGGAAAGATACACCTAGATGATAAAATAATTTTTAAATTCCTTGCTTTGTTAACGGACTCCACAGGGTGTTTCAAACTTTCATCAAAATATCAATATTTTGTTTTCCCTAATACAATTGACAGATGAACACTTTCATTTTTAATTTAGAAAGACATACAAAAATTCAAATAATTTAGCTACAAATTGCTTAAAAAATCATCAAAATCGGTCCACTAGAACATAATATATAAAAGTTTAAAATACATGAAAATTTTTAAGTGCCCGTCGGTGAGTGTAGATGAAAATGATATTCTTTTTTATTGAGAATAATTCTCTTTTTATGGAGAAAAAAATATCTTCTTCTTCTTCTTTTAGAAGGCGTATCGCCTGTTTAGTTCCGGGTTCCTCCTCGTCGAAGCAACTCTTGCGAGGTTGACTGCCAACTGTCTTGCCAACGTTTAGGTGGTCGTCCAGTAGGTCTTCTGCCATAGGGTACGTTGTTGCGAATTATTATGGCCATTCTGTCGGGGCCCATTCTATTGACATGCTGGTTCCATTCTCTTCTTCTCTGCCTTATCCATCTGACAACGTCGTTTGTTTGGCACTTTTCTCTTATGTCTACATTTCTCTGTCTGTCCCTCAATGTGTATCCAGTTATCATTCTTAAGGTCTTCATTTCAGTAGTTCGTAGGATTCTCTTTGTTACTGATGTTTCAGCTCTGGTTTCCGCACCATATGTCATCACTGGTCGTATGCAGGTTTTGTATATTCTTGACTTACATTCTGTACTCAAATGTTTGTTTTTCCATATGGGATATTTAAGATGTCCTGATATTGCGGCAGCTTTATTGGCTTGTTTCCTTACTTCTTCTTCCAGGAATCCTGAGCTTGTAATTTTGCATCCGAGGTATTCGAATGACATTATCTGATCAATAGTTTTGTTTTTTATTACCAATTTGCACCGTAGAGGCTCCTTTGTAATGGTCATGCATTTGGTCTTATTTGTGGAAATTTGCATGTTAAGTTTTTCTGCCTGTCTGTTAAAAGCTTGTAGCATTCTTTGGAGGTCATCCTCTGACTCTGCAATAAGTACTGCGTCATCGGCATAGCATAATATGTTTACTTTATGCATTCCCGTTCGATATCCTAATCCAGTATTCTTGACGGTTTTTATTACTTGATCCATGATTTTGTTGAATAACAGAGGGCTGAGACTGTCGCCTTGGCGAATACCAGTTGTAGTTCGAAGATGCTGCGTTAAGGTAAAGTTTATTCTTATTTGGGTTGTTGTGTTTGTGTTTAAGTCCTTGATAAGTTCTGTGAGTACTTTCGAGACATTACTGCTTTCCAAGATGGTGATGATGTCTTTTAGTTGGACTCTATCAAAGGCCTTTGTTAAATCTATAAAACATAGATAGGCTGGAGAGTTATATTCTAAGGATTTTTCAACTAGTTGCCTGAGTATGAATAGTACATCGGTAGTTGATCGGTTTCTTCGGAATCCTTGTTGTTCCTCGCTTATTGGCACTATTGAGGAGATTTTTTTTCCGCAATGATCTTAGTCAGAAGTTTTGGCGAGGTGCTCAGTAATGTTATTCCTCTATAGTTTGCTGGGTCTGTTTTATCTCCCTTTTTAAAAATGGGTATTGTTATACTTTGTTTCAATTCTTCTGGTATTTTCTTATGTTGTAATATAATATTAAACAGTTTTGTGTATTCCTGTATGATAGCCGTGCCGATTAGGAGATTTTCTATTTTTAAGTTTCCTTATTGTCTCTTCTACTTGCTTGTAAGTGATTTGCGCATGATCTTCTAGATTATCTCTTTGGCTTGTCTCTTGTGCTTCCATTGGTTCATCTGTTTCTGCGTATAAGTCTCTGAAATATTTTTCCCACGTATCTTCTGCAATTGTTCTTAGTTGTATTGTTTCATTTGTTTCTCGTTTCAAACCCCTCAACATCTTCCAAATACGTTTTTGTGCTCCGTACATATCCGCCTCCATTTCGCTACTAAATCGCTACCAATATTCTTCTTTAATTTCTCGTACTCTATTATTAGTCCTGTTCCTTATTTCGGTATAGATATTTCGGTTCTCCAGTGTTGGAGATTTCTTGTATTGTAAGTATTTTTCCTTCTTTTCCCTTGTAATGTTCTTGACTTCTAATGTAAACCAATGTTTAATGTTCGGTCTTCTATTGTGTGATACAGTACGTGTTCCTAAAGCTTCTTTAGCTCCTTTGCAGATGTTTTCTTTCAGTTTGTTCCAAGCTGTGTTAGGAGTATCAAACTGTGCTATGGGGTTAAGAGTAACATGTGTTTGGCATCTGTTTGAATAAAGTTGTTTAGTGCTTTCGTGGTTGAGGGATTCTATATTAAATTTTTCAGTTTTTATCGATGGTCTTTTTTTGAATAGCGGCGCACCTATTCGTATCTTTCCTAGCACAAGTTTGTGATCTGTTCCAATGTTGGCTGAGGATAAAACTCTTATGTCTATTATTTGTTGAGGTAAGAAACTTCGATTGGTGATGATATAATCGATTATTGATTTATTGTTTCTATTGTCATAGAAGGTGTATTTGTGTTGTTCTTTATGTGGAAAATATGTGTTGTTTATTCTCAGTTCGTTCTGTCCACAGAATTCGGTCAAAATTTCGCCATTTCTATTAGTTATATTCTCGTTATATTTTTGTTTTATTCCATCCACTACCTCGTTTCCAATTCTTGCGTTTAAATCCCCTAACAGAATTATCTTTTCATGCCTTGGTATTTTGTCTATCGCTGACTAGATTTTCGTAGAAGTCCATTGACATTTCTTCAGGTTTATTAATGTCGGGTTCGTACACTGATATAATGTGAATGGGTTGGTCAAACATAATCTTTACTCTCAGGATTCTGTCGCACACGTATTCTATGCTTTCTATATTCTGTTCATATTTATCATTTATAGCTACTCCAACGCCTGATGTTGCTCTTTGCTCTTTTGGTACGCCTGAGTATATTAAAATGTAGTTATTTAGTTTTGTTGTTCCTTTACCTTTCTTTTTTGTTTCGGAAAGTGCACATATGACTATTTTATGTTCGTTGAAAAAAATATATTTAATTAAAATAATAAGCCCCATCACACCCGTCTGAGACAAACATATTTTAACTATAAATATTTAATTTCAATCTCCTACAGTTCTCCTGTAATAATATTTATTAACTAGCTAGACAAACATTCGGTGTTTATCTTGACAAGTGGTGGTTTAGAGCCTGTTAATTAATTGCAGATTAATTCAGATAACTCGAATATTAAGATTACCTACTTTGAGTGATTTATGACGCATCAAATCCTGAAAGTTTGTTGCTTTCCAAACTATTATTCTCACCGCGCCGCAGAGCGTCAAATAGAACTTGATTTATTTAAATTAGACTAACAATGTACGTAATTAAGGTTGAGCAGGGGATTTAATGAGTTTCGAGCAAAAATGTGTTAATTAGGTTAATAATAAAGTTGAGGAAGGACCGTGTTTCTTCCTTGTTAAAGTTTTTTTTCAGGTCGGGATAAGACTCATCCTTTAGGAACTGGGAAAAAGGTCGAAAGTATGCTGTAACTTTTGGTCTTTAATTTGTAATTTAGTATTCTTAATAAAGGACCATTTTTGGATAAAGGGATTTTAATATAATGATAATGATGTTCATAAATATTAATGTTCAATCGGAAGGGGTAGCGGATTTCCTTAATTACCTTAATTTAAATCATAAAGATAATTTTTATTAATTTGCTTTAATGATTGTTAATTATATTAAAATATAAATCTAAAGTAATCGCAAAACAATTTATGATGCACGTGGTCAACTTTGAGTGACAAGCGATGGCGACAGCGCTGCCAGATTGTGATGGATTTATGAGATGAATCTTAATGTAAAATTGGGAAACAATATACAGGATTGTTCACCACATACGACACGGAGTATTGTAGCTAAACGATTAGATTTTTACCAATCGTAAGTTTTGGGTTCGTTTAAGGACTATTAGAGCTACAATTTAAAAATATTTTTACAAGATACAGAGTGTCCCAAATAAGTAAAAAGTATTATAGTTGTATTTTATTAAATGGAACACCCTGTATATTATTCTCTTTTTAGATTCTACTATTAAAATAAAGGTAAATTTGATAAGGTTTATCATACTTAAACCTTACCGTTTTTGAAATATTTACAATTTTATGAAATTGCAGTAAAAATTTTAAGGCCTCATTTATCCAAGGGTATCAAAGTTTTTAATGCTAAATATTTACTGAAGTTTATTTATTGATAGTTATTGGTGTTGCAATAATAAGAATAATACTACTTCATACAGAGTGTCTAAAAAATACTTTAAACAATTACTAGTTTTAAACGGCAATAACTTGTTTACTTTAAATGGAACATTCTGTATATTTTATGAGAATCAGATGCACAATTTTAGTGGCTATCAAATTGTATTATACCATTTCTTACCTATACCTTCAAGTTTTCGTAGAAAATACATTTTCTTATAATTTAGATCTCATTTATCAATATACCCTTGGAAGATTGACGTTTTAGATTGTTTTTAAAGTATAACAAATGTACAAAATGTACAGGTGCTAAAAACGATAATATTTCTAGCCCATTTGTATACAAAAAGAAAATTATTTAAAGCTTTATAAAAGAGTATACCATTAATTAAATATACCACCATTATTTAGGCCCAAATATTAATTAATTACATACATAACTGTGTTAGTTAATAATTTATTCTAAATAAATCTGGATTTGTATCAGAAATCAATATACTAATAAGTTATGAAAATGAACGTCTCTGTTATTATAAATAAGCATTCGCCAAAAAATTAAATAAAATTTTTAAGGTGTTACTTTTTACCACATTGTTTAATACAGATACAAAATTCAGTTTTTTAGTATTTGGAGCAATTATTATTATTTTTATAATCGACGCAAACAATCAATTAATGTAGTTTGAATACTGGAATTATATTAATTGGTCTTTAACAAATATTTGAACAGTTTTTTTTTTTAATTTTTTATTGAAATAAACGAACTATATCAACAATATTAGTATCTGTACTCTTTGAAAATTTGCTACATCTTTAAAAATAATCTGAAATGTCAATATTCCATGGGTATACTGATAAATTAGGTCTAAATTATAAGAAAATGCATGTTCTACGAAAACTTGAAGATATAGGTAAAAAATGGTATAATACAATTTGATAGACAACCAAACCAAACCAAAACACTAAATCACCACAATACACCAAAACACTTTTACTTTTACACTGGACGCGCGTTTCGCTAACCATGAGTTTATAATCATCTGCTGATGATGCTAACATGGTTAGCGAAACGCGCGTCCAGTGTAAAAGTAAAAGTGTTTTGGTGTATTGTGGTGATTTAGTGTTTTATTTTGCTGTGTAACACCAAAGGTTCCAACCCTCAACTGTAATACTATACACTAATTAATTAATTTTAAATGTATCTAAATAGGCACTTTAATAATTGAAAAATGTACATGAGCACTTCATAGAGTATACCAAATATGTAAAAAAATTAAAGGTACCTATAGGTAAACTAAAGGTACCTAAACGGCCAATCAGCCAGATAACAGTTACAAGACGCCGACATCGATAACGCGATGAGCAGTTTTTAATAATTATTCCGAGTTAATTCAAGTAGCATTCCTTCAAATAAATTTTAATTTAAGTATTGCTAATACATATAGTCATATTAATGATTATAGCCTGTATGATTTCTAAAATAAAAAATCGAGCGTGTTTTTATCAGAATAATTATAAAATGATTAACTAGAAATAGTTAATATTTATTAACTTCGTAAGTGTTATTTTTTAATATAATTATGGATTTAATAATGAAATTATTACCTTAAGTTTAAATTGTGGTAAACTTGTTATAAATTTCAATCATTTATATTTAAAATCTTAGGGAAGGCAATATAGATTTTAGGCAGAGGAACTCAATGGAAGGACTATGTAATTAGTAATTAAAATTTTACATTTTTTTTTACTTGCCATTTTTCTTGTCTTTCACGTTGCACATTCACTCTTCGTTGTGTCACACACAATCTGAATTTCGGATATGATGCAAAACTGATAAATTAGACCAAATATATTAATTGCAAGGTATGCAAAGAAATATTTTTCTTAACTTTGCAAATACTTAAGGCATGCAATAATTTTAAAAAAATTTGACGTGAGATTACTTCATAATTCTTGAAAGTCTTGGATGATAAAGATTTGAATTATTATGGGTCTGTTTTGTTTAAGAAGCTAACAAATAATTTCAAAAACTCAACTATCAAAATATAATTGTAGAAAATGTTTAAAAGCATGTATAGGTATAATATTCCATATTAATTGGACATACTGAATGTAAACTAGGAATACATAGTTGCTGCAGTCGATAATATACTTTGCTGTTTATTTTCCTCATAATAAAAAACCGTCAATACCGCTACTCACATTATGGGCATCTTTTTATACTTAAATATCTTAATGATGTTTAAAAATACATATGTAGGTACATACTATAAGTAGTGGTTGTCACGGTTTTTTTATTAGGTATGATGAAAAGAAGCTGCAAACTAAATTATCGTTGGAGCCAACTATATTTTAATTTATTTTTATCTACAGTAAGGTATTACTGCACGGTAAGGGTTCAAAATATGCCTATAGTGTGAGGCAAACATAAATTTCCTCCATAAATTTACACCGTAAGTTCGAATATTAGTTAAACCTAGAAATACCCAGGTAATAGCCGGAAATATGCAAAAGAAGGGGTGAGTTTAGGTTAGATTAGAATTAGGTTTTAGTTGGTTTTGAATTAATAAAAATATAGACCTAATCTAAACTTAACCGAAACTGACCCACTTTTTGGTATATTTCGGGCTCCTACGTGGGCAACTCTACGTTTAACCAATATTCGGGCTTTTACGGTAACATAATATTCATTCTGATTGGTTTAATCTGGCTCCATAACAAAACTGTGGGTTCGAAGTGCTATTGCAAATTAATGCAATTAATTCTATGTATACACTCTCATAAAAAGCCATCACTATAAAAATTAAATATCAAAATTATTTAACGTTGCGAACGGTTCACTTGTTCACTATACGTATTAACGATTTGCGAATGGCGATCAGCGATACGATGGTGCGTCCAAACCTGGGGAGACGAGCGCGAGACATTCCAAATTCGCTGTGTGGACGAGTCTCGCGAGAGCGTCGCGAGTCAACCTACGGAGCCCGGTTGCTATCCGTCCCCTGTCGGTTTTCCAACGGCCGAGATCAAAGACAGCTCGAAAGTCTGGACGTGTTTTTGGTAGGCCCACCCGACTGCGAGATATTAGCTCTGATTTATAAATTTCGACCATTTAAAATTAAGTAATCTCAAATTTTTAAATCGTACACCGTATACATTATCATTTTTTCTGATAGAATTTACAAATTTTATGTCACTGATAATTTTTACCCTACCGAAATCCAACATTTCTTTAAACAAATTGAATTATTACAACATCTATTAATTTTAGATATATAATATCAAAAAATGGCAAGAAAAGTTAGCGAATTGTACGTATGTATAACCCAATAATAAAATAAAAAATAGGGTATTCCCATTAGAAAATATGTTATATCCGCAAAACTTTTTTGAATTACACTGTATACTCTATAGTAATGTTAAAATGTGCTTCTTAATCTTACCAATAACTTTTTTATTTAACATTTTGTTCTAAAAACGTTAAAAAACGTATTATGTAAAAAACGTCGTGTAGGGATAAAGGGGAAAATAGCCAAAAGGGGGAAAACCGACGATGAATACCATGTTAAAGACCGAATATCATATTAAAGATACAAAAATGTATTACTGTATGCGTTATTATTTGGCCATCGTTTGTTATATTCAATTGCAATTTAATATATATTTGGCTTTCTTTCACTATGATCCC